AATCCACAATGATGATAATGGAGATGAAACAAAAAACATTGTATTTTACATTAAAAAAAAAAAAGACTAGCTGGTCAATTATCCAGGTTAATACTATTTCTCTGTATGGAAAAGCTTCCCAGCATGACTAATTTCCTCCTGTAGCTCACTAGAAAAATTAGCATATCCCTATTGATAATGCATATTTGGGTGGTTAAGGAATCTTTGTACTTCACAGAAAATAAGAGTGCTTCTTGCAGATATTTTGGAAGGACCAAAGGACCCTTCATACTACTCTGTGAAAGACTGCAGACAAGAAAGGAAAAGCATGGCAAATTTCTTTGGTATGAGGAAGCAATAAGAAAGTAAAATTAAAATTGTAAAAACCAAATACAGGGTCTTTTTGTTTTTTTGGTACTTCTGTACAGTGAAGATATACCCTAAGCTGTCAGAACCATAGTAAATGGGGCATAGTTAAATTGAGTGCCTCTGATAAGGGGCTCTGCCAGGCTATCAAGGTTTTCCATCAGCTGGATTGAATTTCCAGCATATTGCACATTTCTGTACGTTCATTCTCTCTCCTTACTTTCAGTGACACTAGAAGGGCAGCCTTAGATATGCTTATAATTTGTGGCTTTATAATGCAGGAGACATCTACGTTTTCAAAGAAGAGATGATACCAAGGAAGCCAAGAGCAAAAATGGGAAAGAAAAAGAAAAAAAAACTTTTGTAATGAACATAGTCTGCATACGATTTCAGAAAGTTTGAAAAAAAGACAGCTCTTCGGAGTCAAGAGATATTTGAATAAAAAATTTCAAATGTACATTTGTATCAAATTAAAGTATGTCTGTGAAACTCTAATCTAAGGAACTCTAAACTTCAATAAGTAATTATAACTTATAATTAGTAACTAATGATACCAACCATGATTACTTTTAAAATCTCCTCTACTCTTCAGCCAGGCCAGACAAAAATGAATAATTACTTTCTATTTGAAGTTTTTCCTCAGAAAATGGTAGCATGTAGTATATTTTATAATCTCTTTATTAGAGTATAAAATGATGTGGATACAGTAATTCTGTTAAGAGAATTTTTTGGTTTAAGTCCTTTAAAACTTATTAAGATGAACAATGAACATAGTCAAATCAAATATACAAATACATAAGGAATGTAAATGGGGTAAATGCATTTAAGTTAATTTTAAAACAAAAATACTATCTGAAACTAGAGTGCCCTGAGGAAATATAAAAATGCCCTTTTATTTATTTTTTAAAGGGAGTCTACTACCTAAATTCTGGACCTCATAGTTAAAAGGTTGAACAACAGGGCACCAACTTCCTAGACACTTGTCTAGTTAGAGCTAATTGGTATATATAGCTTTCATAAAAAATGACCAGTGCTTAAATAAAATCATCAGAATAGCCAATATTCTCTTAAAGTGTTTAGCACTTTTATTTTAAAAATCATGTTCATTCCTTTTTCATTGCTGGTGATGTTGGAAGTAATCACTACAACATGTTTCCAGCATAAGGGTATAATCTGAAGATGACACAGGCAGCACCATTTGCCTGCACTGCGATTACACCATCTTTTTGAAAACAGAGCTGAAGAAAGCAGCATTTCTAGAGGGAGTCATACTCACGTGTGGTCTAGCTGCCGTCTTTCTGCTCCAATGATCACCAGGATTTCTCTTTTTTCCAAATATTTTCCTTTGACTTTCTCTTTTCCCCCATAATTTCTTACCCATATTTTTTCATCAGCAAAAGGTAGAAAGAGCCCAGGCCAAACATCTCAGAACATAGCATCATAGAACCAGGATGGTAGGGCACTTACCAAGGAGTCTTTCTGTATTTCCATATCAGCTTTAGTTTTGATGTTTTTCTTGTGGTTTCCTTGAGTGCTGATAGAGCTGCCGGTGAGACAGGAGCCCTGGGAACTGCCCTTTAACACATTCCTGCAGGAAACATTATTTGATCCACTTTCCATCTGTTGAGCTGCTTTCTTATCAACTCTGCAGGTAGAAAGTGATTCCTCTGATAAATTACATTGCTCCTCTTCAATCATTCTCCTTTCCCCAATACTTTCATGTTTAATGTAACCTTCATGTACCTCTTTGACTTTAAACCTTTGAGTGGTGTTTCTCACTAGCCTTGATCAGATCTTCAAATGTTCCAGTAGTGTCAATATAGATTTGATGATACAATATTTTTATTTTTATGATTGCTTGTGGGGAGGGGCAAAATAAAACCCCCTGAGGAGTGACTGCTAACTACATTTCTAGCTTAAGATTGGCAGGAAATGTAATTACTTCTGGAAAGTTTCTAAGTATACATTTGCTAGGTACAATCAATGAAATTGGCATGCTTTAAAACGTACGTGTAATTTTCTTCCATTTCATGCCATGTGGCTTCATTCATGGTTCCTAGTGTAGGCTGAATTTCTATCAACCTTGATAAAACTTACTATTCTTTAATTTCAAAGACCATTGGTTTGGTTAACAAAGTAACATGGACTAAATTATCATTTTATTGCTAACTTTTATTTCATTGTTTAAACTCTGCTAATGTATAAAAGACTGCTACTATGCATTTCTGCCTGTGTGGAAAACATGCTTGACTGGCATTTAACGTGCAGGCAGCAAACACTTCTTCTTAAGTGGGGCTAAGGGGGACCCCTCTACATTGCCACCCTCTCTTCCAATGAATTACCTGTTCAGAAGTTCCATCATAAAGCTATCTTTTGCTGAGCATGTAACAGCGCTGGGTCTATTTCTCGGTTCAAACTTCATTTGGTTGTAAATGTCCTGCGGCGTTTTCAGATTTTTGCTTTGTAAACCATTGTCTGGACTATCTGCCGACTTGGTGTCCCTGTTAAGCTCATTTTCTATCTTACATTGTAGTTCCGGCTTCTTTTTCTCTTTTTTTCTCTCTGATTTTAGTTGTTTGTTTCCAAACCCCAAGACTTTTGCATCTTTCTTTTCCACTTTGGTTTTGGAGACATCCATTTTTCTGCTACTGAGAGCTGGGAGTCTACTCTTCCGAAAACCAAACCAGCTGGCAAAAGAAGGCCCCGGCTTCTGCTTCGCTTCCACAGAGGTCGACTTTGTTTGCACTTGGCCCTTTTCCACATTTTCCTGAATGCACAACATGACCTTTTCTTCTATTGTGGGTGAGAGGGGGGTTTCTGGGCTCACAGCACCGGTTCCAGTTGTAGAAGCATCTGGATGCCATCCAGAATTTTCTAGCCTGGATGTCCTGCTTGTTTCACAACTGCTTGGACACTGCATATTCCCTGGGCAGTCTGTTGGGGTGGGTGGGCACCTGCAGTGGTCGCTGCCTGGGTCTGCAGGTACAGCCACACTGGGGCATTCTCCCTGGGCATAGGCCTGCTGGTCTTCCATTCCAGGGGGAGTGAGGCATTCTTCAGACTTTGGAGGGATCCTCAAAGGCAACTTGCTGGGGCTCCCATTCTGACTGCTGGAGCTGCCTGTGCTCCCTGGGGAGCCTTGCCTGGAGGAGAGGTGCCCCAGGGGTCTTCCAGCACTGGGGAGACTCTCAGACACAGAAGGGGCAGGGGTCTTGTTGGGAGAGCCTTCTGTGGAGGAGTTCTGCCGGGTAAGAGAATTGCCTCTCTCAGCAGTGTTGGTAATAATCTGAGTTCGGACCTTGCTTGGCCCTTCCATAGGGGGCGTCGAGGGCTTGTCCCCTGAGTGAGTGCTGAAGCTCTGGCTGCGGGCTTTGGCGCCATTCATGCCTAGAGCTGGTTTTAGGTGTGGCTTGCTGGAGGAAAGGGATCTTTTCACTGGTCTGGTTTCTATCCCTTCTCTTCCATTAGCCCCAGGGATGCTATTTTCCAGTGACTCTGGCACTGCTGTTTCCTGCAGGGGAAGCCCTTCAGCTAAACTGTCCTGAGCTTGTAAACCCAGTGTGGTCACGTTTCTTTCGCCCCCTGTGGTCTCAAGTCTTGCTGGATTCCTGGAGTCTTCGGGCTTAGACTTGTCTGCAGCCACAGAACTTTTAGAGGCTTCATTTAAACTGTCTTTTTCATGTTTCCCGGGCACCGTGGAACTTTTCCTGAGCAATTGGGGAGACTTCATGAGAACTTTGAGTCCCACCGGGAGGCGAGTTTTCAGTCCTTTCTCATGAGTGTTTTGACAACCTTGTGGGGTGCTATGGCTTTTGGAGGATGACGACGTTAATGAGGGACTGTTAACCTGAGATGACGGTGACTCATTTACCCCTAAGAAGGAAGGCTTGGGGAATGTGAGGACACCATCTTTTAACGGTCCTTTCCTTCCTGGAGATACACTTTTGGAGGACAATATTTCCAGTGGTTCATGGGTTGAGGGACAATTCTTGGGAGTCCGTAACCCTGTGTCTGCTTGTGTGGTCCCAAGTGCTTGGTGAGGAGAGGTTCTGGGAACAGCCCTCTTTGGAGAGACCTTTGGTGGCCCCAGAGCCATCACAGTAAATGAGCCAGAGGGAGCATGAGCAGGGCATCTGGTTTGAGTCACTGTTTCTGTGGAGGGCAGAGGGTGAGTGAAGATAGGCTTCTTGAAGGCCGAGGATGGTTTCTTCCTTGGCGCTTCTGTCATGGCCTGATGAGAAGATACAACAGGAGCAGAGGCTCCTTTCGACAGAGGGGATTTGACTACTGTCCTTGCCGTTTCACTGGGGACCCTGGTTTCGGGCTTGGCAGATGAAGGTGTTGGTGAAGAGTCATAATGGGGCCTGATCAGGAGGGACACTGACCTGCCCGGAGGGGGTGGGGGAGAGGGGGATTGCGCCCCTGCCTCTGGCCCAGACTCACAGTGTTTCTCTCTCGTGGGGGGTTCTCCATTGTCACTAGGTCCAGTGAGGGGCCTTGACCGTGACCCTGGTGTCTGACTCTGGGAGCAATGGACCCAATCCCTCCTGCTGGACATTTTGGAGCCATGAGGAAGTTGGGCGGGGTGTTTTGGAATGTGTGAATCTGGCTGTAAGTGAAAGAGCGGCCCTGGGCTCTCATTCTTCATGAACCGTGAGAGTTTCCCAGGAGCTAAGGCTGGTGATTTTTCATGAGTCACCCGGCCAGAGGAGGGGACTCGTGTGGAAGCATCAGGCTCCATTATTTTTGCTTTCTGAGGTGAGGACTTGCCCCTGGCAGGTGTTTTTGTCAGACTTTGCTTTTGATAGATACCCATGGATGCCGAAGACCTAGAATTACTCTGGCATGACATACCGTGTGTCGGTCTGGCCAGCTTTTGTCGCTGAGCATTTTGTGCTACCATCCTGGGGCTGAAAGGTTCGGTGGGCGCTATGGGAACATTATCTACATTATCTTTTGGAATGTTTTTCTCAGTTTCCTCCTCAGATCTCTTTAAGAAAGTATACTCTCTNCCATTCCAGGGGGAGTGAGGCATTCTTCAGACTTTGGAGGGATCCTCAAAGGCAACTTGCTGGGGCTCCCATTCTGACTGCTGGAGCTGCCTGTGCTCCCTGGGGAGCCTTGCCTGGAGGAGAGGTGCCCCAGGGGTCTTCCAGCACTGGGGAGACTCCATTCCAGGGGGAGTGAGGCATTCTTCAGACTTTGGAGGGATCCTCAAAGGCAACTTGCTTGGGCTCCCATTCTGACTGCTGGAGCTGCCTGTGCTCCCTGGGGAGCCTTGCCTGGAGGAGAGGTGCCCCAGGGGCCTTCCAGCACTGGGGAGATTCTCAGACACAGAAGGGGCAGGGGTCTTGTTGGGAGAGCCTTCTGTGGAGGAGTTCTGCCGGGTAAGAGAATTGCCTCTCTCAGCAGTGTTGGTAATAATCTGAGTTCGGACCTTGCTTGGCCCTTCCATAGGGGGCGTCGAGGGCTTGTCCCCTGAGTGAGTGCTGAAGCTCTGGCTGCGGGCTTTGGCGCCATTCATGCCTAGAGCTGGTTTTAGGTGTGGCTTGCTGGAGGAAAGGGATCTTTTCACTGGTCTGGTTTCTATCCCTTCTCTTCCATTAGCCCCAGGGATGCTATTTTCCAGTGACTCTGGCACTGCTGTTTCCTGCAGGGGAAGCCCTTCAGCTAAACTGTCCTGAGCTTGTAAACCCAGTGTGGTCACGTTTCTTTCGCCCCCTGTGGTCTCAAGTCTTGCTGGATTCCTGGAGTCTTCGGGCTTAGACTTGTCTGCAGCCACAGAACTTTTAGAGGCTTCATTTAAACTGTCTTTTTCATGTTTCCCGGGCACCGTGGAACTTTTCCTGAGCAATTGGGGAGACTTCATGAGAACTTTGAGTCCCACCGGGAGGCGAGTTTTCAGTCCTTTCTCATGAGTGTTTTGACAACCTTGTGGGGTGCTATGGCTTTTGGAGGATGACGACGTTAATGAGGGACTGTTAACCTGAGATGACGGTGACTCATTTACCCCTAAGAAGGAAGGCTTGGGGAATGTGAGGACACCATCTTTTAACGGTCCTTTCCTTCCTGGAGATACACTTTTGGAGGACAATATTTCCAGTGGTTCATGGGTTGAGGGACAATTCTTGGGAGTCCGTAACCCTGTGTCTGCTTGTGTGGTCCCAAGTGCTTGGTGAGGAGAGGTTCTGGGAACAGCCCTCTTTGGAGAGACCTTTGGTGGCCCCAGAGCCATCACAGTAAATGAGCCAGAGGGAGCATGAGCAGGGCATCTGGTTTGAGTCACTGTTTCTGTGGAGGGCAGAGGGTGAGTGAAGATAGGCTTCTTGAAGGCCGAGGATGGTTTCTTCCTTGGCGCTTCTGTCATGGCCTGATGAGAAGATATAACAGGAGCAGAGGCTCCTTTCGACAGAGGGGATTTGACTACTGTCCTTGCCGTTTCACTGGGGACCCTGGTTTCGGGCTTGGCAGATGAAGGTGTTGGTGAAGAGTCATAATGGGGCCTGATCAGGAGGGACACTGACCTGCCCGGAGGGGGTGGGGGAGAGGGGGATTGCGCCCCTGCCTCTGGCCCAGACTCACAGTGTTTCTCTCTCGTGGGGGGTTCTCCATTGTCACTAGGTCCAGTGAGGGGCCTTGACCGTGACCCTGGTGTCTGACTCTGGGAGCAATGGACCCAATCCCTCCTGCTGGACATTTTGGAGCCATGAGGAAGTTGGGCGGGGTGTTTTGGAATGTGTGAATCTGGCTGTAAGTGAAAGAGCGGCCCTGGGCTCTCATTCTTCATGAACCGTGAGAGTTTCCCAGGAGCTAAGGCTGGTGATTTTTCATGAGTCACCCGGCCAGAGGAGGGGACTCGTGTGGAAGCATCAGGCTCCATTATTTTTGCTTTCTGAGGTGAGGACTTGCCCCTGGCAGGTGTTTTTGTCAGACTTTGCTTTTGATAGATACCCATGGATGCCGAAGACCTAGAATTACTCTGGCATGACATACCGTGTGTCGGTCTGGCTAGCTTTTGTCGCTGAGCATTTTGTGCTACCATCCTGGGGCTGAAAGGTTCGGTGGGCGCTATGGGAACATTATCTATGATACCCATGGATGCCGAAGACCTAGAATTACTCTGGCATGACATACCGTGTGTCGGTCTGGCCAGCTTTTGTCGCTGAGCATTTTGTGCTACCATCCTGGGGCTGAAAGGTTCGGTGGGCGCTATGGGAACATTATCTATGTTATCTTTTGGAATGTTTTTCTCAGTTTCCTCCTCAGATCTCTTTAAGAAAGTATACTCTCTTGCAGCAGCTCCTGGCTGGAAGCCAGCAATTCCCTGAGGTAAAAGTTCAGTGTGTTCTGCCTTGGGTCCAGTAGAGGCCGAATTGATGGAAATTTCATTTCTGGTAACAGTGACAACTCCAGTCTGGTGAGAGCTGAATTCAATGGGCTGGCCATCTTCTGCATCAAATATGACTGTAATACATTCTTCTGAAGAAGTCCTCTTCAGAACCCTTTGCTGTTTAATGAAACTAAATGTCTTTGGCCTAGTCTCTAAGTGGATGGGCACTGACTTTTCCTCCTCATCAGCAGACCCAAGTTGAGACTTTCCAAAGCCCATGAGGATGTCCAGGTTCTCCATGGACTTATCGGTGTCAGCAGTGAGTGACAAGTCTGAAGGGCTTTTCTCATCACTACTGTCTATGTGTAACTCATCAAGAGTTTCATTGTCATCGGTGTCTGAAAGGTTGAGAGCCATGTGGCTGTGGCCTTGGCTGTGCGGGTCCGTCTCCCTCAGTACCTGATGCACTTGTACACTTGGGCACAGCTTCCTCTCCAAGGGACAGTTGCTGGCACAACTGGTCAGCTTTTTAGACCTTTCCCTGGGATAAACTGAAGATCTGCCTTCCAAAAAGTGTTTTTCATTTGGCTCCCAACCAAACAGACTGTCAGAAACACTGTGGGTTAATTTGCTACCATGCAGCCTGCAACCCTGGTTTGGAACTACTTGGAGCAATGCTGAGGAAGAAGAGTCACCATCAGCATCATCATGGGAATCTGTATCATAAACAAATGCCTTGTGAGGCTCCTTGTAGGAGCTCCCCATGTCCCTTGGTTTGCAGGGGGTATGTTCCTTGAGGCTGCTACTCTTAATCCCTGGAGAATATATTCCTTCATTTGAATTCATGCAATCTTTATAACCCCATTTGGTTATCACTGACGGGGGCTCAAGTAATACTTTTCGCTTCTGTAGCTTTTTTAGCCCTTCCAAAATGTGGCTTTCCTTGATACGAGTTGGAGGTAGTTCATCTGTAGGGCTAGCAAAACCACTTGGGAGCAAAGAATCAATACTTAGCCTTTTATCCCAGTTTTGTGACGATTGCTAGGAAAGAAAAGTAGATATCAGAAAACAAATGAAGCATGAGGATCACAAACATATAAAAGGAAAAGCCTGTCATTGGACTTAATTTTTGCTAGTAGTTGATAAGAAGTCATATATAAATGCATGTGTTAATTAGCTATTAATTCATCAACTATGCACCCAACATTGATTTTGTTAGGTCCTGTGCTAAGTATCACAGTGATACGAAGAAAGGGAAGGTAAGGTCCTTGCCTTCAAGGAGCAGAAAATCCAGCAGGGGACAGGAGACTTGGGCAAAATGAACTGTATGTCAAGGGAGCAAATGAGAAGTGCAAGGTAGCAGGCACTCTGGAGATGAAGAGGAAGGAGGCCACAGGTCTGTTTGGAAAAATCATAAAAGGCATACGGAAAAAGAATTTTTTTTTAAAACTTATCTAGCCTTTGAAAGATAGATATGTTTGCCTTAGGTTAAAAGTGGGGAAATGATTTCCAGAGAGAGGAAAAAAGAAATGGGATGGGCAAAGACCCAAGCTGAGAAGGTATAATCAAGGGACACTTTGAGAATGACTGAAAGACAGTACGACCTCACTGTGGAGTGCCTGTGAGAGGTGGAGAGGGGAAAAGCTGGAAAAGTAAGTTGGTGCATATTTTTATGCCCCTCCCATTCTAACATTTGATAGTTCTGTGACTTCATGACTTTATCTGGTAGGCAATGAACATCTATGAAAAATAGGCTGAGTATCCCTTATCTGAAATGCTTGGGACTAGAAGTATTTTGGATTTTTTTTTTGATTTTTGGAATATTTTCAGAATACATACCAGTTAAGCATGTTTAATCCAAAAATCCAAAATCTGAAATACTCCAATGAGAATTTCCTTGGAGTGTCATGTCAGTGCTCAAAAAGCTTCATATTTTGGAGCACTTCAGATTTTCAGATTACGGATGCCGAACTTATACATGTGTGCATACAAAGATACAACATCCGGGCATCTGCTGTTAGAATACTCTAGCAATTACTCACCTACTAACTTAAAAAGGTCAATTTCCTGCCCTTCATTCCTCCCCAGATACCAGACTTAGCTTTGGGAAAGAGTGTGGGAAATGATATAGAAAAAAGACTGCATTCTACACATGCATATTTTTCACAGTATTGGTAACAAGGAACAGAAGGGCAAAAGAAGGGAACTAACATTTACTGAGCCCCTGCTATATACCAGTCACCTACACAGTGATTTAACTTCATGTTTAGAACAACACCATGAGGGAGACATAATCTTTCCCATTTTATGATAGAGGAAACAGAGATTCAGCAAGATTAGGCTGTTGGAGATCCTATAGCTAGGAATAGCTAGAGCAAAGCTTTGAACTCTCGTTTCTCAGGCTCTTTCTACAACACTGTCGATTTTGACTAAGTTCAAAAGTAGCTGTGAGAGGATGTGAACCCAGGCAGCGCAGCTCTGGAGCTTGTATGCCTAATCTTGATGCTCTACTACTAAAGGCAAGCTGAACATCCCGTCCCCCCTACAATAGTCAGTGTCATAATAGAGACCACAGGTTACCTCTACCCCATTCTCGAATGGAACTTGCAGAGTTTATATAACAAACTGGCACTCAAGGAAATTGGTAGGATGTGAGGGTTGACCTAGTGACTTTTTTTTTTTAAAGGTTATAAGGTTAATGATGACAAACTGCAAGAGATGAATCTAGTGGTTTCAAAGGTGCACTCTATACCAGTCTTGATGACACAAGCTGCACCCCTAGCCCCACAACTCTGAACACTAACCACATGCTCATATGCAGAGGTTGAAACAGTGTTAGAAACTTCCATTGCAATCTTGGGCTTTTTAGAGAGCTGTGAATATTTGCTCATATCTAAGGCATTTTCATGAAAAATACTCTTGTTATCAACAACACATATGTTTATTTCTTTTTAAGTCAAATAATACGTTTTCTGTAGAAAATTCTCCAGTGTCAGGAGATGCTGGGGATAGATGCTATTTGGTCATGCTGCCTCTTCCTCATCTCCCCCTGAACCATTAAGAACTCTTTTGAAAGTCAGAAGAAATCCCATTAGTAAGTCTGGGTATTATAGACCAACCAGAGAGTGGGCTGCCACAGCTTGGGTTTCTAAGAATTTCCATGATCCTGATAGTCACAATGACAATAAGAAAGAGAAGCCAGGCAAGAGTACCCCACAAGAGCTTGAAAAAGGCAGATTTATGCAACCCACAGAAGATACACACAGCCTCTGCCCACCACCTCCTTTCTGCCGCTCCAGAGGCTGCCCAGGCTGTAGTCTGACTTGCCCCAGAGTCAGCCACTACAAACTTCCCAAAGCCCAGGCTCTCCACCCCGTGGAATCAGCCACATTCCTTGCTCAGTTTGACAAGGAGGTTATGGTAATTAACAACTTGAGAAAAGTTTGGAACAAGATTGAAACATGGGGGGAGAAAAAAGCATGAATCCCTTGTGGGAGAGACAGAGAGGAGGAGCTGGCATTTGTCGCAGGAGCTTCTTTTTTGCTAAAAAAAACCTGGAAGAGATGCTCTAGGGAGCAGTGTGGTTGGCTCAAGATGCTGCTGATAAGGGAGGGCCACTGTTTAATGTCCATAGTCTTTTTCTACTTCTTGACTGAACAACAGTTTTACAATTTTTTTTTTTAGAAAGGACATTCTTGGCCTTAATGGCAACAAATGGATCCCAACAATTGGGATAACCCCTCCGTGTTTTAGGCTGACTCAATAAGGCCAGAAGAGCAGAACAGTTAAGAGTGAAGGTTCTAGAGTCAACTGCCCAGCTCTGCCATTTACTGGCTATACAAACTTGGCTAGTTACTTAACTTCTCAGCACCTCAGTTTCCTCATCTGTAAAATGGAGAGAATAGGTGAACCTACTTAATAGGCTATTGTGAGCACTAAATGAGTTAATACTTGTGAAGTGCTTAAAAAGCTGTGCTGCACATGGTAATGACTCATTGATTACAGCCAAATTCCTTCATGCAGGGCAGGCTAGTGCATTTCATGCAGGCTTCCTTTTTGTTTCTACACAAAACAATATTAAAAAAAAATACTTGTGAGCTCAAAAAGAGCCATTAGTAAAATATTTACTATTATATAGTTAATACTGTATTCACATTCAAATTCATATTATATTTGAGTGTATGATGTAAGTTAATGCTAAATGACCACCTGGCACAAGGTAAGGACTGTGGAAGTTCTTTAATTAACGTAAATTGAAAATGTCTTGATGGGACTGGGTCTAGCTTGTGGGGTCCCTGAGAATCAGGACTGTTCCCTGTAAGATGTGACAGGCATACTGGTACTCTGTGACAATGAGAGAACCCTATTAAGGCTCCAGAGGATGGCCTCCTGAGTGTCCTCAAAGTATCTTAAGAACCTTCTTTCTCCTTTTTCAGGGGAGAGATTGCCTTAGAACATCAAGGACTGCTCAAATTGGAAGAAATTCTGCCAAAAAGAAAAGAAAAGAAAAGAAAAGTGTGAAGGCTGTGAGAGGGAGAGAGAGGAGGAGGGGAGAGAGGAAAGCGTAGAAGGGGCTCTGGGAGCCAGCCATACTCGCAGGCACAGCCTGCAAACATCCCTGACCATCTTTCCAGTCTGCTGCGTGTCATTATTCAGAGTTCCCAACAACTCCTCAGAGGGAGCAATTTTGATAATGTGGCAGGCTCTGTACTTTGCATTAGAAGTCTGATTCCAAGGAAATAAGCTCTAAATGCAAGCCTGAAATCTTTTCCTGAGTTCTTATGCAGAGGACGACAAAGCTACTTCCTCACCAGTGTTTTCTGGGAGCTATGGAATTTTCCTGGTTTCTACACTACTGAAACCATAAACTAATTTTATACAAATGGTAGAAAAATGACCTCCAAATATTTTTTTTTTCCCTTTTTTTTTGTCTTTTTTCGTGACCGGCAACGGATCGCAGCCCTCAGTGTCGCGCCCGTACCGGGCCGGGACCGGCCACGGGATCGCAACCCTCGGCGTTGCTCCCGCCCCTCGCTCAGCCAGTGAGCGGCCGGTCTGTATGTGGGATCCGAACCCTCGGCGGGAGCGCCACCGCGCTTCCCAATCGGCGCACTGTAGCAGTGCGCCACCAGGCTGGCCCGACCTCCAAATATTTTGATTCAGGATTTCTATTCTTGGATACTCTGCTTTTCTTCAACATTAGGGAACTTCTAAAACAGCTCTTTCAAATACTTGGTTTATACCAGTGTGCCAAGAAGTTTGTTCAAAGCAAGGGCTCTTCAGCTGTGTGAGCCTACTTCGCAGATGGGAGTTATTCTAGCAGTAATAAATATTTAAAAACCTGGTAAAGGAACTCCTGGCATATAAGTAGGGATATGCTTACCTTCAGTGAAGTCACGGTCCCTGTTGTCTACCGTGGTATTTTCTCTCTCTACTATCTTGCCCTCCAATTTATAGTCAAATCATATTTTGTGAGGCTATAGCACTGATTAAGAGGAGGTGAATATAATACACGAGCAGGTAACTCAGCAAATGTCCTTTCCTACTTACCCTCTCCCAAACCCCCCCACCGCCCATGACTAAATCAAACCAGAAGAGGATTATTTTCTGGTTCGCTGTGATGCCAAAGTGCCTCAAAAGGAGGCCTTACCCTTTTCCTGAGGTTCTTCCTGTCATGCCACGTGTATGAGGAGCCACTGGAATATTCGCTGCAGGTGCTTGAAAGAGACAGTTCGCTGCTGCTGCTGCCACTATTTTGAGGACAGAGATGACCAGGGACGACAACCCCCAAGCCAGGGCATTTCAAGGCAGGGGTTCCTAATTTTGCATTCAGTTGGCATTCCTGAAAAAGCAGAACAGCTCTGAGCAAGGGTATTGCTTAGGAGAGAGTAAATACTAGCTGAAGCTTACAACAAGCTAGGAGAGAATACAGTATAGTGGTTAGAAGCACAGACTTTGGAGTCAGACAGACTACAGGCTCAAATCCTGGCTGTGCCTCTTCCTGTGTGATTATGGGGAAATTATTTAATTTCTTATAGCCACGTTTTCCTTTTAGGAGAGAATAACGATAATACTGCCTACCTTATAGGGTTATTACAAGGACTAAATGAGGTCCCATATGTGTAGCACATAGCACAATGTCTGGCCTAGAGGAGGTGCTCAAGGCTACTCTGGATCTTGGGCTACATGCTGCCACTAAATATGCGATCTTGAGCAAAGAAAGCATTTAACTTCCATGGACCTTAACGTCCTCATTTGTAGAGTGGGGCAGCTCTAGCAGATTACTCCTGTGGTCCTCCTGGCTCTGATGGCATCATTCTAAGTCAGCAATCAAATGCCCACAGCATATCTCTACCTCCTCACAGGAAGCCATGCACAGCAGACACCAAACTCAGGTATCATGAGCCTCCACCGTAAAAGATAATAGGACTTTTTGTATCAAGCTGGCTGTCCAAATGGTAACAACGCTCACATCAGATAGATCTGGGTCCCCTGTGGAAGGCCCAGGCTGTTAGAATTCTAGTGGGTCTGCATAAGACAAGGGTGACAAATAAAGTTGTAAACAGCCAAGTACATCTTGACAGGCACATTATAGGCCCCTCATGTAACAGATGAAGCTCCACAAACTGGACAGGCTAAATTAATTTGGCATCCTGACCACTGAGAATAGAGTGTCTCTATTATTGTTTAATTCCAAGTCTCCTCTCCATATAAAGCTTTGTCTCAGAAACTCTTTGATGGGGAGCCATCTGTCTTTGTGTCATTTGCAGAGTGGCAAAGCCTCTTACTTATGCAATTTAATGACACTTTATGGATGCCTTTAGTACCTGAGTACTTATCACTGTTCTCCAAATGCTATTCTAACTGATGGTGACTAAACACCAGCTTCAGGAAGGAAGGTAATGACGATCCGAGAGTAAATATTAACCCCCCACATAAGAACACAGGGCATGTTTAATTTGCCTTCTAATCAATATCCACAACGCTTCACAGTGTTAAAATTTCAGTATTAGGCATCTGCCGTGCTATGAATATTTTTGCTGCATAACAATCTCCTTAACTGATCTAAAAATGCCAAGAAATGTTACTACCCTATTTTTCCCCCTGAAATTATGCTCTGAATACCAATGAAAGGAGAAACTTTTCTTAAAATCCAGCTTTCAGCAGTCTCTATTGATTTATGACCTAGTTTATTGCTGGATATAACTTAGTTAAGGTGAATTCGCATTTGTATCTCAACAGATGCCTTTAACCAATTGTTCTATCGCACAGGAGCGCCAGGCACTTAAGGCTGGGCTGCTGCAGACATCTGACATGGGTCCTGAACAAACGCCCAGAAATACCACATTAGGCTCCACTTCTACTTGTGCGCTTTCCATTTTCTCCATCCCGTTCTCTTACATTCTGTTGTTTAAGTAAGCAGGATGGTGGTTATTGAGGACTGCCTCTGCTGATGTGTCTACTCTCCAGGCATTGAGACTGCGTCTCTGGACTGCGAGGCTACCAGACCTAAACTTTTCCTATGGCCTTTACGCACTCTGCTAGGCTTTCGGTTAGAGTTTATATTCTACCTTCTCTCAAGGTACCGAATCTTGTATATGATTCCCTCTGTCTTTCCCTCCTATCCCTTTTCACTACACCTATCAAAATAATACCCATTTTTACGACTCCACTCAATTCCCAGGCCTCTATTAATGAATAAGAAGCCCCTGTGCCTAGTCATTGCCCATGTGTGTCCTCCCTGTATAGGTGATGGATTGAGATAAGAAACTAGAACTCAGAAGATGGGCCAGAGTGAGAAGGAACTGGACCCTCTTCCTTTGGCTTTGAACTTGAGATGCCTAGATATGATAGAGGATACTTCAGGAGATGAAGAAAGACTGTTGATGTCACGTGGACACTGGCAGGGGTGGCTAAGTAGAGAGGTGTCCTCAAAGACAAGCTTTTCACACTTTAATCTACACATGAATCACCTGGGGGGTCTTGTTAAAATGCGGATTTTGATTCAGTAATTTTGAGGCAGGACCTGAGATATCTGTTAGACTTTAAAACAAATTCCCACATGCTTAGAAACTGCTGAGTGCACTGAGTAGCGAGCCTCCAGGAAAAGCTATTACAGAGGTCTGTCTCTTGTGTGGATTCCTGAGCAGCACGTTGTGTCATCTCACAGTCTGACCTGGGTTGTGCTGAGCAGTACAAAAGGAATGGCTGAGTCCATGGGCCAGTGAGAAGAGGGTGTGTGTGTACGTGTGGGAGTGGTGACACAGTGATTCCTTGTAAAGAAAAGGAAGGGGCCACTCCTCCCTAAGGGATATTCTCCCGCCTTCCTCCACCTTGGGCAACTGATGTTTGAATTTAGTAAGGGACTCAGAATCCCTGACATCATGGCTACAAAATGAGTTCTTTTTTCCTACAGTTTCCTTCATCAGCATGTGATTATCATGTAGGATTATCTATCCAGTGAATGACTGTTCTGTGGTTGAATGTGTGAACTCCAAGTCGATTTATGAGGTTTAAATCCTGGCTCTTCCACGTGCTAGCTCTTGGAGCTTGGTAAAATTTCTTAACCCCTCTTTGCCTTAGCTTTTTTTTGTAAATGGAGATAATGAAAGCACCTACTACAGAAAATCATTTCAAAGGCTGAACAGCCCCTGGCATATGGTAATGCTTAGGAACTTTTAGGTATTGCTACCATTATTAAAAAAAATTTTTGTTTTTAATATATGCATGTGTCTTGGCTCCTCAACTGAACCATAAGCTCATACTCTCCTACGGACCCTGTTTTACACTTCTCGCCTTGCACGTTAAGTGGTAAAATAACTGTGTTGAGTTATTACCACCACCAACTGTGCTGGTGCCAAAAGTGGATGTCCTGTGTTTCTAGGCATCACTGATGTGACCTTCTGGAGAGACATACTAGTAGATATCTTCCTGAGTTATCATTTCCACCTTTGCCATGTTTTTCTGTGGCTGTGGTATGGGGCCACATAGTAAAGAGAGCTAAAGCAGCAGGGATATTATTATTGTCCCAATATTGTTATCAGGCACTGTGCTCCACACACTTCATGCATTATTTCACTTAATCTTCACCACAAATCTCTAAAATAGAAAAGAAATATCATTATCCTCATTTTCTAAATGAGGCATTGAGGTTTTAATATCTTGCCTATGGTCACCCAGCTAACACAGCATTCTGATGCCAGGCCCACGTCCCAACCATTATGCTATAATGTCAAGTAAGACTTGTGACAAACAGAACTCCCAGAGATACACAGAACACCATGAATCCCACTGAGCATACTTGCATACTTGTCATTAGTAATAGGTAATGATTCTTTGTAAAATTCTTCTTTGTCAAAAAATGTACATTGGCATCCTTTGCAACATTATCTGAATTATGTTGATTTAATTGGTAAAATACATACTGTTTGCACTATCCAAAGTGTATTTTTCTCATTGTGTATTTTAGATTACCACCTTGAATGACTCATATACTTTAACATCCTTACTGTGAGAAATGCAGTATAAAACTTGCAATTTTAATTAAAAAACAGAGATAGAGAACAAAGCCAAGAGTTTCTTGGATAAAAACTGCACACTTAAGGTCAGGAGACCTTAAGGCCATATGATGTAGACTGGATGCTCCCAACTTCATGGAAGCTCAATTCCCACTGTAACTGTTGAGGGCGGGAAGTCCTATTATGATAATTTAAAGATGGGGCCTTGAAGAGGTGATTAGATTGTAGGACTGTGCAGTAGTGAATGGGTTAATGACAGTGGTCACGGGTGTGGTTCTGAGGGCTTTAAAGTGAGAGTGAAAGAGGGGGTTGCTCTCTCTGCTTCCACCATCTTGCAGTGTGAGACCCCTGGGTCACTGTTGCCACCACTACATGTGCTCCTTGGATTTTGGACTTCCCAGCCTCAGAAACTGTAAGCAATAAATTTCATTTTCTTACAAAGTACCCAGTTCAAAGTATTTTGTTATAAGTAACAGAAATGGACTAATACACTAAACAAATTGGATGCCATTAGGTCCTTATGAATGTTTAAAGTAATAGCATTCCATTGAAATGTAATTCTCCTATAACTTGCGAATATTGACCATTGATACAGAATTTCCTATCTACACTGACAAAATAACACAGTAAAATAAAAAACCAGTTATCCCCAAAAGTTCATGTCATTTTTTCTAAGCCTAACATTTTTCATTATATTTGTATATTTATTTGGCTGTTGTGTTTTTTCAAGTTACTCTTTTTATGCCAATGAGAGTTAAAAGCCATGCTGGTTAAAGTTTTGCCAAATAAGCACAAAGCTAACCCCATCTAAAGAAAAAAAATGCAGAGCCCATGAATTTTTAAAAGTTCATACATAATATATCAAAAAAGTAGGATGAGTAATAAAGGACATACACCTTAATAAAAAGCTCCTTGACCATTTCTCAGAGACTGAGATGTAATCAATACCCAAAAAGGTATCTTGGGGACAAAGCCAAGATTTATGATATTTTTGCCAAGAGTGACACTTTCTGCTTACTATATCAGCTGGGGGACATGATATTGAATTTCAGAGAACACAAGAAAGGAAGGTATTTTTATCTGCCTGACAACACTTCAAGGATACTCTTTATGGTCCAGCTGTGACATCATATTTGATGGAAGGAAAATAACAACCTAAACAAGTGTTCCAAAGGCAAGTAGGACACTCACGTGCAGCTCAGCATCACTTCGTGACTGCGTCAGACCTGGGCTTCTTCCTGCTTCTGAAAGCAAATCTCCAGATGAAAGATCTAAGATGCGTGAGTGAAGTTTCTATATAAAACCAAGAAGAAACAATGAACAGCAATAATTTAACTGTTTGTTTCAAAATCCTGTCTTGGAAAGCTAAATCTGAAAAGAGCTGACATTTCCAAATTAGATAATACATGTACTAATTCAAAAAAGTTTGTTCTAGCTTATCAGTGTTCCATATATATGTATATATACAAATTACATTTTATCAACAATAACAGCATTTTTAAAGTCTATCGGTCTATAGAAAAAATTAGTAGTTGGAAAATACGAGGGGTCTTCAAAAAGTTCATGAAAGTAATATCTTTTCATTCAAAATTTCCACGAACTTTTTGAAGTACCCTTGTAAGTAGTAGGAAGAACGTGAATATCCCAATATTCTTATTGGGGAGTACAAAAATTAACTCTCGATATTCACATTAAACAAAAACAATGACCAAGTTAATCTTATTATTTTGAGCAGTGCTTAAAATCTGAGCAAATAATTATAAAAGTGACCTTATTTCTAAATAGCATCGATCTTGTAAAATCTTCCCTTGGACACATTTTAACTCAAAGTCATTAATGTCATCTGTTAGGAACAATTAATGTGAATAGAAAATAATTGCATCAGGGATCTGGGGACTCAGAGGATTTGGGGCATTAATATTCACTTGCTCTTCGATTATATACTGAATTCTTAATTTCAGTTTTGCTTGGGAGGCTTGCTAAACCTGGGATATTTCACTATATTAATCTTTATACTAATTACTAAGGCTTTTCTGTGGACATTAAGTTTGATCTGTTCAATTGGAAATACAATAAAACTTGTGATTTATATCTAATGTTTCTACTAGGCTGATAACATTCTAAAAATGGTACTTGTAGCATGGTTTGTCTTAGTTACACGTTTTGTGAGTTCAGACACCAAAAAAATCTAATCAGGTAAGTAAATAACATGGCTAAGCATGCCTCTCTCACCTCTGAAAAGTCTTTCTACTCATTTCCCTCCCTGGAGAGGCCATGCTGCATACTGATGCTGATCCATGAAATGTGTTAGGTTTTCAGTCACTAAATAATGTTAGGATCATGTAGGATGTAGGCGTTGTCCCAGAGGTCACTTTGTTCCCGAAGATCTACCGTATTGTCAGCAGGAACCAGAAACTCTGCTAATATGAGGCACATTCATTCTGTTCCCCATTTGACTCCCCTTAGGCTGAACTTCTGGGAGAGCTCCACACACTTGGTTAACTGGTCACTCGGCACGCATTTATCCAGCACCCACTGAAGGATGAACACTGTGGGAGGTCTGAGTTCCATCCTTTTGCAGGGGTACAAGCATTTTTTCTACCTGCAAGTCTCCTCATGAGTGGCGCTTCTCTCGCTGCTCACTTCACATCTATATCCTTGCTTCTCTCAATCTGTGATTTGTGGAGGTACTTTCACAAAAAAGGGAGTGAATCCTAAACTGGTTGCCAGTTGCTATGAAAATTCAAATTTCTCCAACAGAGCTAAGACCCCAGTAGGTAACCAGAAACATGACATTGTATCTGGACAATTTTTATAATCCTTAACTAAATTTTCCTCTAGAATCTGAGTTTCCTGAGTGCAAAGATAGAATTCCTCTCATTGTTTAATCTGCAGGACTGTCACAGTGTATCATAGTAAGTGCCCAGTTCATGCTTGTTGTAATCTATAAAGAAAAAGGTGTCTTAACATTTTCCCCACCCCACATATAGGTTTTAAAAACTGGGAGTGTGCCAAAAGAGTTATAACGCTCTGAGATTTAAAAATACATTTATCAATATGCAAACAGTACAAGAAGTTATGGGAAATGACATTCAACAAAAGAACAATGATTTTGAGTGGTATGTCATGTGATTTGGGGGAAGAGTCCTGTACAGATATCTGACTTCTTATTCAGATCGTGGCTGCACTTCACTACTTCTCAGATATATGATGTCACCCTCTCACTTACTGCATTGTAATATGTGCATGTAAAAACCCCTCCTCCTAAATGATGTTATGAGTGGTTTTCATCCAAACGGTCAGTCCCCTCCACTGAAATAGATAAGGTATATATATGCAAGAGGGGAGAGGTCCTAGGGCAAGGGGCCAGGACACCTGAATTGCAGCCCTGTCTAAGGCACAGCTTTTACAGGATCTCAAGAATGTAATTAAACCTCTCTATCTCAGATCCCTTGCCTGTTACAAGAGGATGGAAGTGGCTACTTAATTCACCATCACAGATAGGGAGAGGCTCTGCCATAGTAGAAAGGACAATAAGACAGTATGTTGAAATCCACACAGCCTTACACCAATTTATTATCATAACTTAGAGTTGGTGGTAATAAGAGACGATAAGGGACAAATGAATCTTTTGTTGTTATAGTTTCCATACATGTAAGGTAAATAAAAATTGACTTAGAGGAAAAGAAAATTTACTTCTGTGTCAATACTGTAGGCAAGAAAATGGCAGGTAAATACCACCCCTTCACACAACTTCCTTTAAATTACCACAGAGGCTCACAAGCTCACAGAGGCTACACTTCTTATAATGAAAAATTTTCATGGAAGGCTTATATTTTCATACCTATATATGTATATATAATATATAAGTATATTCTCACAGATATACACAGATAGGTAGATAGACAGATACAGTATCACAGTACAAGTTTGAAAAGTCATAGTATACTCTTCAAACTGGTACCATGATGTTATCTGTACCATACATAATTTAGGTAACACTGAAAAGTAGGCAGAATGTATGCATGTGAAATTCAATCAAAGTAGTTGTCAGAAAGAGCATAACCTACACAAGAATGCTATGAGCTTTTTAAAGGAGTCCACTTACTTAGAGGACAAGTTCTCCATCATACATCTACTTAGTTTATGTTTAATGTTAGTGTCCATTTGGATAAAATTTCACCTGAAATACTTTGAACTTCAAAGCCTTAATCTGCAAATCTAGATGCTTCCTGGATTTAGACATGTTCTGCCCTGTTTTAGACATGAAAGGTAGCAAGATTACTCAGTATAGGCTTGTAATTAACCTTGCATCATCTGTTACGTTATCTCAGCAACAGATTCCACGGGGTCTTAGAAAGAGACTCCTACCCTCACACATTTCCAAACCAGTGGTGAGTGAGAGATATTTTCACTCAAATGCTTCCTTTGACAGCAACAGCCTAAGCCTCCCTTCCTGGCAGGCTGGTTTCACTGTCCCTGGAATGTGTCCCTTGCCTTCCACAGTGATGCTTTGTCCACCTTTCCAAGCTGTCTCTGCTTCCACCCACCTATCAAAACCTGCCCAGTATTTAGGACTACACTAAAACCCCACCTGTCAGGTTATCCATCCTCTCTAACCCACAGTGGGTTCCCCGTCCTGACAGATTATGCGGCTGCTCATTTCGGCCCTTTATCTGATATGCACTGTTACTGAATTGTTCCTGTGTGTAGGTTCTATTTTCTTAACAAGATAGCCAGCTTTATGAGAATGCAGGCCAAGCCCTGAATTCCTGTTTTGTCCCCATGGCAAGGATAGGCTAGGTGTACAGAACCTTGTCCCTCTTCCTTCTGGGCAAACAGCTGTACTGCATTTCCCAGCTCCTTTGCAGTTAGGTGACATGGTTTGTTCACCATGTTGATGAACATGGTTTGTTCTAGATGATGGAGTGTGAGCAAAAGCGATGTCTGCCCTTTCCAGCCTGGCCCAGGAATACCTCCTGCATGCAGTTCTCCATGCTCCTTCCCCTTCTACCAGCTTCATGCAACCAATTCAGCACAGTGACCTTGGAAGCTACGTGTTAAAAATGAAGCCAGTCAGGTGAAAGGAGTTTGTGTTCTTGAATTGCCAACTGGAAGAGAGCCACTCGGGACCAGAAATACCTCTTTGGACTTTGCATGAGGAAGAAATCCAGTTATACCAGGTTTGAGCCACGATTCATTTGGGTTTATTACCACTGCTAACATTAACCTGGCTGATATGGCCCTCCTCTGCGATAAGCTCTCTGCAGCATACAGGGTACCCACTCAACAAATACGCATATTTATATGTGTAAACATATGTATGCACACATATATGTGTATTTACACAAACATGTACATAATGGCTAGGTCAGCAGACCAAGGTGACTTCCTTCACTGAGGATTTTTGCTTCATGGGGAAGAGACCTACTTTTTGTCACTATATATATAAGGGCAAAGGTGGAGAGATTTGTGTGAAGAGCTAAGATGTAGCATATTAAAGTCAAATAAAAATATAGAGACAAATCTCTAAGAAAAGTATTTTATTTGGGAACACAAATTACAATCTGGGACACATACACAGACTGGGGTGGTCTCTGGTATGTCCAAAGAATAAAGAACGGCTTGTGAGTTTTATTAGGAAGAGAAATGCTACATATTGTTTTGAAAGAAAGCTCACTGACACTCGTGAACTTCTGGGGAACTGGCAGGCTTTGACTGGTGAGTGATGGTGGTATGTAAAATTGGTCTTAGAGCTATAGCAGGTCGTTTCAGCAGCTAGTAAGTAAAATTAGTCTTAGGGTTACAGCAGGCTGTTTCAGCAGCTGGCGTTGTAAAAAATTTTTCTTGAAGCAGGTGCTATGTGCCCTGACTACTTTTTTCCCTCGGCTTCTGATTTCGTTTGGGTATGACAAGATGACCCCATTTGTATAACCAGCTTTCACAATTACAATTCACAGTCGGATTGCACTTCTCATACCAGTGTAAAATACTAAGCTCAGCTTTGGGGACCAAAGTAGCCAGTGTTCAAGCCACACATGGGGTCAGTAACATGTGGGGGGTTGACTTGCCTTCGGTCAGCCAGCTCTATATTCTCTGTGCAGTTCTGGATCTATAATCGAAGACAGAAAAATGACCGCTACAGCAAACTGAGCCAAGGACTGCCTGTCCATTATCTAGCAGGATGTAGGTAGAGCGGCCCCTTCGGGGTGGCAGTGACTGATTTTGCAGCTCTCCCGTGAATGACGGAAGCGGAGGCTGGAGACTGATGTGCACTGAGCCTTTCAGAGCTG